TAATGAGAGTAAGAAAAACATATCGAAATACCCTCAGTGTTCACAGTGGGGTGGGCAGGGAAATTAGCTGTTTAAAAAATTGAATAAATCAAATATGAGTTTGTCCGAATTACTGGAATGTAAACAGATCCCCAATTAGCATTGTTTGTTAAAAACAATTTTAACTTATTAGCAAAGAGAACTCCTACATCCATGGGTCATTTTAGGCAAAGTCAATTTTAATAAGCATTAGGAAAGGCGCTAGCAAATCCAATTGCCAGGTGTGTCAAAAATAGCACGCTTCCTGACAAGGCCAGGGAGGAAGTAGGAAAGAGAAAAAAAGGGTGGGTTTTCTAGAATTAATACCACTCTATAAGTACTAATATCACTTTATAAAGCCTTAGTAAGACCACACCTAAAGTACTGCATCCAGTTTTGGTCACCACACTATAAAAAAGATGTTGAGACTCTAGAAAGAGTGCAGAGAAGAGCAACCAGGATGGTGAGGGGACTGGAGACTAAAACATATGAAGAATGGTTACAGGAACTGGGCCTGACTAGTCTAGTGAAGAGAAGGACCAGGGGAGACATGATAGCAGTCTTCCAATATTTGAGGGGCTGCCACAAAGAGGAGGGGGTCAAGCTATTTCCCAAAGCGCCTGTAGGTCAGACAAGGAATAATGGATGAAAACTGAACAAGGAGAGATTCATCCTGGAAATAAGGAGAAACTTTCTGACAGTGAGAACAAATCAACCAATGGAAAAACTTGGCCTTGGAAGTTGTGGAAACGCCATCACTTGAGACTTTCAAGAAGAGATTGGACTCCCATCTGTCAGAAATGGTATAGGGTCTCCTGCTTGGGCAGGGGGTTGGACTAGATGACCTACAAGGTCCCTTCCAACTCTGATTATCTGTTATCTATTATCCAACTTCCCATTCTTTTTCCTTTCAACAGCCAGTTTGGTCTGCTTGGTTAAGGCACCAGAGTAGACAGCAGGAGACTGTGAGGTGTACTCCCAAGTTAACCATGGATGCCAGCTGGGTGACTTTGGGCCAATCACTAGGAGACTATGAGTTCTACTCCCGCCTTAGCCATGAAAAGCAACCAACGACCTCACAGGGTCGTTGTTGTGGGGAAAATAGGAAGAGGAAAGTGTATTGGATATTTTCACCACCTTGGGTTATTTGTACAAAACATAACGAAGATGGGATACAAATAAATAAATTCAAGTCTCAAAGAACTCAAAGCGTCTTCAAAAAAAGAATGAATAGGGAGAAAACAAAAAATGGATGTATAAGCAGAGGATATGAAATGGGCAAGATGGAACAGAAGGAAGAATTCTTCAAGTGAGCATACTTGACTATGCCAATGGTGAAGAAGGAAGAGTAGACCAGATCTTGAAACCTCTCAGGATAAAAAGAATAGGAGATTGCCCACAAGTGCTCCGGATAGAGACAGTTTTCAACTTACGACTGCCATGGAGGCTGCCAATTACTATAATAATTCATGGTGATTGAAAGCAGATCATCACATTACTAACCTGATTTTACAGCCTCCTTTTGTGGCGGTTCTTAAGTGAAGACTAGAGTAGCAAAGCCAATGTTGTTAAGTACAGTGGAACCAAATCAGGTGGGGAACAAAATCGGCGCGGAAAGATTCCCCCTTTCCGTGCCGATTTCTCCTTTGGCACCATTTTTTTTTTGACTGTGCACATGCGCAGTCAGTTGTGCTTCTGGATACAACCAAATCGGATCGTGACCGGAGTCCAGGAATGGATTCCAGTCACGACCTGAGGCTCCACTGTACATGGATCGTTCGCTATGAAGCATTTTTGCCAAAATCTGGAAGTAAATATAGATTTTCGGTAAAAAATGTTAGACCTTGCAGTCATGTGACAAGGGGCCAAAAATGCAGGTCAGTTGCCATGATCAATCACATGACTGTGAAGGCCGTAAGAACTTCGGAACCAGGTTAAAAGTACCTTTGGGGGAAATTTGCCACGACTTTGAACATTTGCTAAGTGACCCGTCATAAGTTGATTACCTGTAGTTGTTTCTTCTGAGAAGTCCACAAAACAGTGATTTCCAGTAGATTTTGAGCACAGGGAGATGAGGGAATAACCTGCAGTTGGTGCCTTTAAAATGACACTACATTTGCATACTTCCTTTTCTAGCCTCATTTGGAAATTGTTTATTAACTACTTTTCAGCTACAGTATTAGGAAACTTGGGAAAAGTCTGAAAAGAAAAGTGTTCAATCCTTAAAGAAAGTAAATGTTAACTACAAGCTTAAGAACTTTTTAAAAAAATGAAATAAACAGCAAAGAGCTAATTAAAACTGATTTTAGAAAGGTTAAACGGATTAAGGATTCAAATAAATTTGAAATAAGACTTTGGAATTAACTATAAGAAAAACTTCCCGTGGGAAAGTTGATTTGTTTTGAGCATAAAAATGATAAACAACTTCAAAATTGGATACTAGAGGGAACTAAAGATTTTAATTGATGGAGAAGAATGTATAAACATGATTATCAGCAACAGAATGACACAAAATATTAAAATATTAGAAATACTAAAGGACACTTTTCAAAAATGGAATCAGAAGTTAATATCAACACTGTCAAGAGTGACATTTGCTACTGTGAATAGTCTGTGTCCAAAAATATATTTGGAATAAATAGCAGAAGAAGAACAGGTTTTATTTGACAAGACAAAGATGGCATTGGAAATGGGTCTAAAAATGTCAAGCTACACGAATGACATGGAAAAAGATGTTTCACTGCACATACAAAAGAAACCGGTTGATGCTTTTAAAAATCAAAGTGGAATTACAAATAATAAACCAACAGAATCACCTGGATATTTCTTCCTTTCACAAATCCAGCTTCCGCATTGACTTTGTCGGAAGCCAACTGGAAAAGTCACAAATCACATGATCCAGGCACACTGCAACCATCATAACTACATGCCAGTTGCCAAGAATCAAAATGTTGATCACATGACCATAGGGATGCTAATGGTCGTAAAGGTGAGGACTGGTTGCAAGTCACTTTTTTTTTCAGTGATGTTGAAGCTATGAAAAGTTGTAAAATGAATAATTGTAAATCACCTCCTATGCCAACAGTGAAAGGAGTTCTTGGATTATTTTCAGTGGCTATTAAATTAATAAATGCTGGATAGAAAAGTGGGGTCGATACTGACTCTCTAGTTAAATATTTTCCATCCATTAGCATGGAATTAATAATGTTACTTAGAAGCAGTGACAGAAGGGGAATCAGAACACAGTAGGAAAAAAGCTCTGGATAACACTGATTTCTGGTGCTATTTATATTCTCAACTGTACAAGAAATGTGTACTTTTTGTTTCCTGGACATTTTTAACATTTTTTTTCTTTAATGAAGCTTATTTTATCCATTTAAAAAGTACATTAAACCCAAAAATTGATCTGGATATGTAGTAACAAAATATGTAATAGCTGATATGGTACATAGTAAAAAATAAATAGAAATTTTTCACGAAAAGAGAATATATCTTTATATATATATGTGTGTGTGTGTGTGTTTTCTGAGGTTTTCACGGGTATTTGTATGTGGATCTTTGGTTATTCGGGTTTTCTCCTGCGTAAAATTGGAAGTATCTAGGCGACGTTTCGATGAAGTCTCATTCGTCATCTTCAGGCTTCACCAGACCCACACCCATGAGGGCCACACAAGATGCTACCACCACACTTCCACGTAGAAAGCAGACTCACATCCACACAGATGATGAGACACGACCACGGACCAGAAGCCGTACCGCAGCTGCATCACTACCCACTTCAAACCCCTCCGACCCATACATGAAGCGAACTGACGCCCACCATGAAGATGTGGCACGACCACAAACGCGAAGCCAAACAACAGGATCACAGCTCACCAGCTCAAATCCCCCGGCAACTAAGACTAACCTGAGCACAACCAAGCCCCCACCTGAACAGAACACCCCCCCAGCCAATCAGAACACAGCCAACCCCCCAACCAATCTGAACACAGCCAAGCCCCCACCCAATCAAGTCACACCCCCACTAGCAGTTAAAAGGAAGAAGCAGCTGCAAGCTCACATTACTCCAAGAAACACAAAGCCGAAGACACAAGCCTGAAGATGACGAATGAGACTTCATCGAAACGTCACCAAGATACTTCCAATTTTACGCGGGAGAAAACCCAAATAACCAAAGATACACACACACACACACACACACACACACACGCGTGTGTGTGTGTGTGTGTGTGTGTGTTTTCTTAAGTTTTCGCGGGTACTTACATGTATGGTATTCAGCTTTGTTCGGGTATTTTCCCACATCATTGTAGTTGTGCTTTTAAAGTTGTAGCAACGTTTCGGCAGAATCTCATCTGCCATCATCAGGCTTCTGTATTGTGTTCATCTGACGAAACGTTGCTACAACTTTAAAAGCACAACTACAATGACGTGGGAAAATACCCGAACAAAGCTGAATAACATACATACATACATACATACATACATACATACATACATACATACATACATATGTATATGTGTGTATTAATTGCTGTCTTGATTAAAAGAGTTGTAGAAACCCATAAAAATTTTCCCCAAGTTTGAACTCTGAAGTGATTTTCAGTATTTGCAAATCTGTATTTCCTGCCTGAATTTTGTGTAAATTTTATACAAAGTGTCTGAAAATTTGAGATGTTGAAACCAAGTATTTTGATCCATCCTGAACAGAGAATACAGCAAAATCTCCTTGCACCCATTTATTTTAGTTCAGGGGTGTACAACTTTGGCAGCTTTAAGACTTGGAAACTTCAACTCCCATGGCAGGCTGAGGAATTCTGGGAGTTGAAGTCCACAAGTCTTAAAGCTGCCCAAGATGGACACCTCTGTTTTAGGTAGCATCCTTGTATTCTCCTTGCAAAGAATGTTAGGGTCACATAGAGCGGAAAGTCGTATTCCCTGACAGTTTCCCTTTCCCGAGAAAAATGCAAAAGTCCATTACTCACTCAGTGGCTTGAGGATGTGCCCGCCAACCTCATCGATATTTTCCGCATCGGATTCGGTGATTTTCTCCTTTTCTTTCCTTTCCTTCGGCCTCCTTCTGTGGTGCCTTCTTCTCCGATAACTCTTGGGAACATGAACCCCAATATATACCGTATGGTGACCTGTGAAAAAGAACAGTACTTTAGATTCTTTAACAATTTTCAGTTTGTATCAAATGACATTAATATAGCTTCAATGCATAAATAAAGGGGAGGAAATTCATTTCTGGAAACCATAGAGGTGCCAAATATAACAGATGAGAAGCAAAACCAGATGTGACAACGCAATAATCAACATTTTTCTAATAACCCAACAATGTTTAGGAAGATTTCTCTGCCTCCACATAATAATGGTATATAGGTAGTCCTTAACTTACAACCATTCACTTAGTGACTGTTAGAAGTTACAACGGCACCGAAAAAAGAGACTTAGAAGAATTAGACTTAACACTTTATTGTCACTTTGATTGTACACTAATTGGCCTACATTAAAATGAAATTTCGCTGCATGCAAAGGGTCTCCACCTCCAATATACATTACATAAATATGACAATTGCCTCATCAGTCACATGATCAAAATTCGGGCACTTGACAACTGGCATGTACTTATGCCAGTTGCACTGTCCTGGGATCACGTGGTCACCATTTGTAACCTTCCTTAACTGGCTTCTGACAAGTAGTTAATGGAAGAAGCCAGATTTGCTTAACCACCACATGGTTTAACAGCTGTGGTGATTTGCTGAACAATAGTGGCAAAAAAGGTCATAAAATGGGACAAGTGCCTTTCTTAGGAATGGACATTTTGGGTTCAATTATGGTTATAAGTAAAGGACTACCCATATGTGGAGGTGAAGCCAATAGACAATGAATGATATGCTTAAACATTAGAGAAAGAGGAGAATTTTGATCCAGAACTGTCACTGTTAGTCCCACTGCCTTTCTAATTTCAAAACTCTTGGAGAACATCTCAAGATGTTCTTCAAATAAATAGGAACACACTGTCTGAGTTGGTTTGAAGGCCATTCAATGATCATGGAACACACATTGTCATTGAGAGAAACAATTTAATGGGATGGGAAAATTACTCCTTCACCTTTAACGAACTAGCCATCTTCACAAGATGGGGCTCACGAAAGAGGCTGTTTAGTATAGAATAGAATAGAATAGAATAGAATAGAATAGAATGGAATAGAATGGAATGGAATGGAATGGAATGGAATGGAATGGAATGGAACGGAACAGAACAGAACAGAACAGAACAGAATAGAATTATTTTACTGGCCATGTGATTGGACACACAAGGAATTTGTCTTGGTGCAAATGCTCTCAGTGTACGTAAAAAGAAAAGATACGTTCGTCAAGAATCATAAGGTGCAACACTTAATGATAGTCATAGGGTACAATAAGCAATCAATTCATACTAGGCAACAATTAATAGAATAGAATAGAATAGAATAGAATAGAATAGAATAGAATAGAATAGAATAGAATAGAATAGAATAGAATAGAATAGAATAGAATAGAATAGAATTATTTTACTGGCCGTGTGATTGGACATACAAGGAATTTGTCTTGGTGCAAATGCTCTCAGTGTACATAAAAGGAAAGATACATTCGTCAAGAGTCAAGAATCATAAGGTGCAACACTTAATGATAATCATAGGGTACAATAAGCAATCAAATCATACTAGGAAACAGTCCATATAAATCGTAAGGATACAAGCGACAAAGTTACAGTCATACAGTCACAAGTGGGAGGGGATGGGTGATAAGGAGTGATGAGAAGATTAATAGTAATAATAGTGAAGAATTTGTAAATAGTTGAACAGTATTGAGGGAATTATTTGTTTAGCAGAGTGATGGCTTTCAGGGGAAAACTGTTCTCGTAGGTCAGGGTTTGTTGCCCCATAGACTTAAAAAAACCATTTTGTTGGTGGCAACGACATCAGAGGTAGAATGTTAGTGACCATGTGAACATAAATCCGGATTTATAACTTCATACACAGCAATATGAACATTGTGAACACAGGGATGAAGTAAAAAAAAATGCTACTTTTGAAACCGAATATCTGTTCTATGCCACAAAGTTTTTAAAGGTAACAAAGTATGGGGTTTATGCCATCATGAGCAACACGTCTTAAGAAACTAATCAGATATGAACTTCATGTTCTGATCTTCTACCTTCTTCACTTAAAAGTAAATCTAAGTCTCCTTAATTTCATATAGAATGTAAACATGGAAGTCCTTTGATGTGTTTAAATAATCCAGGTTTTACCCACTCCTTTCTCAGAGGTTTAGGGTGGAGAATTGCGGACTAAAAATATGTTGATCTGAATAAGCGTTTCCCATAAACGTAAGAGCAAGTTTGCCATCTCAGCTGGTTTTTATCTTCGTGGGCCATCAAGAATGCTTTCACTCAAACTAATATTTTCATAGGTATTCAACTCAGCAAGTCATTAGGCTAAGAACCAGGATATAATATAGGAGAATATTTGTAGCTCACAGTTGCAAGAAAACAACCAAGCTCAGAGTACACCAAAGACTGAAGGATATAAGAAAGGGGTAATTATCAAATGTGGTGAGAACCCCACCTCATGGGACTTTGCTATATTTTGTCTACCACCTACCCGTACCATTAATTTTCAATATTATACCAATGTTTAAACTTTTGCTATTTTTATCTTGTTTTCCTTTTTTTCTAACATTGTTCTTTATTTAAAACATTTTAAAGTATCTTTTGGGCAAGAATAGTTATAAAGATGTTTTTACTGCTTTTAAAAACAAATTTATAAACTACATTGTCCCCAGTAAATAATTCCACTTGTAAATCTATGTCCGCCTATTAACGTTTTAAAAAATCTAAACTATTAAGAAGCAGTTATAACCATAAAAGTAGAAGTGTTAATCAATACATCGTCTCACTTAAAACCAATTATAACTATAAAAATAGGAGTGTTAATCATTTCCTAGTCTCATTTAAAAACAGATAAGCCACATGACTAATTAATTTACAATTTAAGTGCCAATAAAACCACATAGAGTCCACTAAGATTAATATTATCACGGAATTTATTTAAGGAAAAAAAAACCTTAAAAGAATTTTATCTTTACCATTTACCTCAAGGGCTATAAAGAAGGATCTGCAGATATCATACAAATAAATAAAATAGAAAAAATGGACCTTTTGCAAAGTTGGCATCCATTACAGGTAAAGTACATCAAAATAAAAGGGGCTTTGTTCCTATAGAAAAACTCAACTGCCTTACAGGTAGTCCTCAATTTAGGACTGGTTACTTAGCAACCATTGGAACTTGATAAAAATAGAAAAATTGAATAACAGAGGTGGAAGGGAGCTTGGAGGTCTTCTAGTCCAGTGCTTGCCAACCAGAGGGCCCCCGGGGACCACTGGTGATCCACAAGAAAATTTTGGTGATCCTCAGAGAAATGTCACCCCAAAGCACCCCCCAAAAAGCAATTAATCCAAGCTGCGCAGGAACACAAGGCTGCGCAGCCCACATGGCCCGTGGGAACAGAAGGCCTGCGTCGCTTGCATTGCAGACAACACGAGGTAGTGAGGGGAGGGGGGAAAAGGTGGAGGGGGGAACTTGCCCCACTCGCCCCACGCACCTTGCCTGGCCACCGGGCTGCTTCTTTCTGCTTCTTTCTTCTTCTGTTTTTGGCTGCACACAAGGAAAGCAGCAAAAGTCTTTCTTTCTCTCCCCCAAACTCTGCCAGAAATGAGTCCTTGGGACCCTGCAAGGCCTCCTGCTCCAAGAGGCTGGGCCGGCCTGACAAGTCTCACAAAAACTCATTTCTTGCGGAATTTGGGGGAGAGAAAGAAAGACTTCTGCTGCTTCTGCTGCTTTCCTTGCATGAAGCCAAAAGTCTCTCTCTCTCTCTCTCCCCCCGAGAACGGAGCTGGAGACGGTATCCTGCGATCCCAATTAAAGAACGATCGATCGGTAGGAAAATGGGGTGGGGACTTTTCCTGCAGACTTGTTTTGGGATCCCCCCAGGGTCTGTGGTCCGCGAGATTTAAAATGATGAGTTTGGTGATCCCTGAGGTCCAAAAGGTTGGCGATCCCTGTTCTAGTCCCACCCCCTGCTTAGACCTGAAAAGGACTACCTGCATATTTCTGGGCAGAAGGCTAGGTTATCCTGGACAATGTAAACAAGGATCATTTTTTTTTACTTCCAGCAAGTCTCAAATTGAGAAAGAGAAACAAGACAAACTGAAAACTATTCCCTGTGCATTTACACGTCAACCACATCGGCAATCTCCACCAATATGATGGCTTTCTATTTACACCATCTTTGGTCTCATGTTAACCAAATCTACCCTGTGATTATGTGACCAACAGATTAAGGAGACTATCTAATTCCATTGGTAGCATATTGATGTATTAGGACTGTGGAATGACCG